TATCCCCCCCCCCGAACGAAAATATGAAAATCCGTCTCTGAAGCATACTGAAGCATGCTTTCTCATGTTATAGGTTTTTGCAATAAAGATTTATGTGCAGAATTGAAGTTTATTATTTTTTGACATTTGTCTTTAATATAGACGATATTAAAAATCTGCTTACAAACTTGGAGCTTTTGGATTTAGTCGTAAGCCAAGTATGGTCATCCATTGTATCAAAATATAATGAAGGTGGTGATATATCTGATCTACTAGCAGAATATGCAAAAGAATCACAAAAGCGAGAAGGCCACATTAACAATGTCATCAACATGTTTAAAGAGGAAATTGAGAAATTGAAGCACAATGTTCCTGATAATACATTGTCGGATAAACAAAAGCACATGATAAAATTAGAAATGAAAGTATTTGAAGACATTTGTGATACTGGTATTCGTGGCTCTTCTGTACTGAATGTGTCTGACACCATTGATGCATCACTTTTTAAAGATACTTGCAGGCAGTGAAATAAAAATGCTCTTTAATATACAGCATGGTAGAGAGTCTAGTGATCTCCAACCCAGCAAGCAGAAATTTATTAAAGACAAACACACATAAGATGGTATGTGGCTTGCATATGCTTGGGATTATCAGTAACATCAGAAACCAAAGAACAAGAAATTGTTTTCCATTAATATTTGGTCTTCTTGGTATAACATTTGGCGCAGGAAAACAATTTATTGATATGCTTCTGTCAATTGGACTATTGGGACCCAACCGTTGGGATCTTAATTTAATTATTTGACTATATTGTTTTAAATATAGAAATGTGTGGGATTATCCCGCCTGCAGTGGCGTGCTGGCAGGGGGGCCGGGGGGCCACGGCCCCCCCAGCTGGCAATTCTTGGGGGGGCGCAAAAATGAAAATGGGGCGCCGAATTTTGAAAGTGGGTGGGCAAAAACACATTCTCGAAAAAATATGGTTACTTCCGCCAAGAAAAGACGTGTTTATAGGCTACAGTACCCTGGATTCCAGAGCCTTCGACAGTAAATAATAAATTGAAATGTCGCGAAGGCTCTGGTTCAACGGGGCGATTCTTTGATTAAGCCGCGCCAATCACAAAACATAATTAGTGGTTTTAGTACAGATTCTGTACAATTTATTATTTACTGTCGAAGGCTCTGGAATCCAGGGTAAGGCTACAGTATAAAACAGACTAAGCGCATAGGCGACATATAGTAAATTACAGACTATTTTGCCTAACCGTATTTGCTACCTCACAGCTCACACGAAATCGTTCATATAAAAACATCATCAGTGATCACAGGCAATGTCTCATTACCGGAATATTGGTCAGGTTTCGATCGAAGCGATCACGGGAATTATGCCCTTTTTTGCTGGTATTATGCCCTTATAATATGCCCTTCATTATGCTTCACGAATCACGAGGGCGGCGCAAATTAGATAGTTGAAGTTATGATAACTGATGTAAAGTTGTGTACGCAATTTAGTTGTTTGCGCAAGAAGCATGAGTAATGTAAGTAATGAAATAATGCTGAAACATGCCCTTTGGGCAGCCAGGCAAAGAAACCTTAAAATGCATATGCGTGTGTTATTGTATAAAAGAGCTTTAAGTTGTAATTGTCCTCAGAACAGTAGATCAGTATATAGAGAACAGAATTGGGATTAAATTAATCGCTGGAAGTAGTTAGCATTGCATAATTTAAGTACTACAACTAAATTCTAACTGGCAAATTTCGACACGTTATAATGCCGTCCCCCGACCATCAGATTTCTGTCAAATCTTCCCCCAAAGTCCAGGAAATGGCATTTCAAAGACTCTAAATTAAAAAATTTTCCTGGGGCCATGCCCCCGGACCCCCCTAGACAAACCTCGCACCTCCGGCACTCGGCTCGTGCCTTCGGCCCTCGTTTATCAAGTGTAACATTATAGGGGCGCATATTGGTTGACAGCCCACTGGCCCCTCCAGAAAAATAGTACCCAGCACGCCACTGCCCGCCTGCCACACCCAAAACCCAATGGTAAAAACAGTTCTTGTCTCGGAATGGACTACTCCCCCCCTCACCAAACAAATGATCCTGGTTAATTGCCACTGTACGATAGATAATAATATCAGACCATGCAAAGTTAATTAATATCTCTTTCATTGTTATATAAAATTAATGTATAATATTAATTGGGCATAAATATTTGTGATTTAATCAAGAATTTTAAATTTCCATAGAATGTCATTTATGGACAAAAGATTGACACAATTCCAAAGTTTAATTGATGAGTGTGCACCTGTTTCAAAGCCAGTCATTTTCTTGATGGACAACATAAATATGTATCATGGGAACAGTCCGAACAGGACTCATCACCGACTGTTTAAAGTACTTGGTCAAAAAATGAGGAACTTTACAGTTCGCGGCTTAGCTATTCCAGATTTAACAACAATAGAATATTTGTTTCATGACAAGGAAACAGCAGAAGAACAACAAAAGGATAAAGTTACTGCATGGGATACTTTCATAGGTAAGAGCTGCATGCAAATTACACTAAAAATTGTGTTTGTAACTATAATATACTGTACAATATAACAATATTACAGTACAGTAAAAATGTTATTAGATTACAGGTTCTGTCCACATGTATCTGATGTTGTCATCTACTGAAAACCCAATAATCTGGAAGCAGTCTTCTGAGGGTAGATACTTTCAACCTCGTACCCAGTGCTAGCCGCGAATTGAAGGCGACGGCATAGCCCTGGTAAACGCTGGTCACGTGACTACAACATTACGTAATTGTTACTTTTCTCAACCGGGGGGTGAATGCTAGAGGTGAAACTCGAAGACAAACAGTTTTTATCTCAGAAATTCTTCAATCTTCCCTGTGAATTTTGCATTTCAAGCTTTTCTCAAAGTACGGCGATCGATCAAATGGATCAATACTTTCTGTAGAAAAAACTCAGTGAGATTTGTTCGAATGAGACGTTTAAAAGACTTGGATATGTCGCTCAACACGCTCGATCATTTGCACAGGTTTATGGTTTAGTACTTTGTTCAGTTTGTTGCGACTTGCGAAGCAAATGAATGCAAATTCAACTCTTGTATAATGACTAAAAGTTGGTTTGTAGAGGGACAACTTATGCAAAAGATATGAATACTTGAGCTTCAAACTAGGAACAAGTTCAATCATGGACATCCTTATTAAATATATATGGACATTCATTTGATATTTCACCAATATGTAAATATGAAGTCATTAAATATATAAAAGGATTGTTGTTGTATATGTACAAGTATTGTGCTGTGGTGTTTATGTTTTTAACCCTTTAAGTGGCAATGCACCGTACTTTGTTAGTTTACTCTGTCTAATGCCAGACAATTTTACTCGTCAGGTGGACAGTGCATCCCGCCACTCAATGGGTTAACACAGTCGATGAACATGCCAAATGATCCTTGACAGTGGTAGTGCATTTTTACACTTGCTGGATGATATCGCAACCAAGTATTGTTTCAGAGGAAGAGCTCTGAGATCATGCTGTGTAGCAACTGGAATCTCGTATAGAGCCTGCTCTCGCATAAAGCAGGCAAGACCTTCACTCAGAAGCCAGTGAGGATTAATATTAATTCCCCACATAAACACTTGGAAACCGGACTGTCCCATCTGCCATATGCAGGACAAAAAAACATGCAGCCTGGACTTTAAATGTTAAACAACCAAATCAGCATGATAAATCTGTAAACAGTGTGATAATTTTTGTTTAGCCCAAACCAAAGCCAGTTTTCTAGAATTAATTTGCAGAATCCTAAGAATTGGACCTCCAACTTGAAGAGCTAGCTGTGCTAACCAGGCTTTTAGCCAGAAGGGCGTCCAGGCGTCCTGGGACGCCCCTAGAATGAAAAATGGACGCCTTTGGACGCCCAATTCTGGGGGAGGGGAGGGAAATTATTTTCAATTGTTTCCCTAAGTATATTAATATATCTGAAACGAAATAGCTTCAATTCTCATTATTATTATACATTTGACATTTTGATCAATTTGAAGGTGTGCCTGGCTGAATGAAAATGTCGTAGTTAGATAAAGAAGCATAATAGCACAAACTCACACAGTCATGTGTGTTTGAAAAATTTCGAACAAGCTTTGAACAGATACTGACACGAAGTAACGTAAACTTCAAAGGTTTTCCAGAGGGACGTTTTCTCAACCCC